CTCTCTCTCTCTCTCTCTCTCTCTCTCTCTCTCTCTCTCTCTCACACACACACACACACACACACACACACACACACACACACACGGCCCCAGAATAACTGGTTCCATCTTAGGGTTGAGGGCAGAGACTCCCAACGTAGCTCTGCTGAAGACCCCACCCCTGGCTGAGTTCACGCCCCTGGCATGTGTCCTCAGGCAGGACTCACTGGCTGGGCTCCAAGGCAGGAAAACATGCGCACCTGGAACATACCGGCCCCCGCCCTGCCATGACACAGCCAGGGACACACCCCTGCCCAGATATGCAGTCACTCCAGCCTTTGGAGACCAGCGCAGCCTTTCCACACCCAGATACACATCAGCCCCAGAGCTCCCACGCCCACACAGGGGAGCTGCGGAGGTTCTGCCAAGCAGTCTGCTGTCCTCCCAGACGTTCTAGCCTAACCAGCTAGCTACCCACATGCTCCCAGAGCATGAGGGTGTGAACCAAGGTCTGGACCCCAGAAGGCAGGTCACCTCAAAATTCTGCCTCCAGCTGCGCAGGCAGGATTCCAGAGAGGCCACAGTGTAGCCAGGGTATGTGTGGAGAAGTGCTTTACAACCGTAGTGTGTCAGAGTTGTGTGGCCCCTTCTCACGCGTGATCCTCGGGCCCTGACCTTCGCAGGGCCACCCCGACTGTGGGGTCCGGCTTCTTTGTCTGCCGCCAGCTCCTGCCCGTGTCTTCTTGCCTCAGAGGCAGTACCTGGCACTGTATTTCAGGCTGTCATCTCTGCCTGCAGTGCTTTCCCTTGCCTCCTGCCTTTGGCCAGCACTCAGCTCAGGAGCAGGCAGACCCTGACTTCCACATGACCCTGTGCTTTTGTGGCTTTGGGTCATAGTTATCCTGAGTGCCACTTTCCCCAGCCAGTGTAGGCAGAACCCACGATTTTATTTTCTCAGGGTCCTAAGGCCCAGCAATGATTAGACCAAAATCTGAGGCCTGGGGTTATGTTCTGTTAAGAAGGAGGAAGGACCAGCAGTCCCTTCCTCAGGAAGCTGGCCAGTCCCTGCCCCACTACCCTGGGGAAGAAGCCCAGGGTCTCCAAGCTTCTTCGCCAGGCGGAAGCTCTTGTGCAGATTTTGGCCAGCTCAGTTGCCCTAACTCCAGTCATTTAAGGGTACGATGTGGCCAAACCCCCCAGTGCAGACCCCTCATTGGTGAAAGGAGCACAGAACCCTGGGGAGGAGCAAGCTATACGTAAGACCTCGGGGCCTCGCGGGGCTCCCTTGCCAAGGCGGGGTCTGGAGTGCTAGCTGAGTACTCTGCCCTTCAGTGGGAGCTTATGTTTGTGGGAAGTGAGCCTTGCCTTTGTCTTCAGAGGCCACTGTCTGCTCCTGACTCTCAGCTGGGAGAAACAGAGTCTCAGCTGGTTCTGACCTCTTGCCATCAACCGCCCGGTAACCGATGCAGACTGCCTGCCGCTGCCCCGGCGCATGGCCGGCTACCTCCGACAGTACCCCTCCCAGCTCTGACTGGGCCTGCTACTTCGCCCAGCCTCGTGCAGCCACATTCCAGGACCTGTGTACATCTGGTAGCCGGACCAGGGTGGGAATCTGGCCTGTGTGGGAAGGGGCTTGTTTCAGCTCCTAAGTCCTAGCCAGCATAGTCCTAGGTCCTACTGACTGACGTAACCTATCTGGGTATGGGGAAGCAACTTGCAACCTCAGGTTTCCTATAGTAATCTTGGGGCCTCCCTAGCAGACCCTCCTATCCCTCCTATGGCTCAGTCAGGACCAGTGTCATCTGGTTAGCCCATCTCAACCAGGAGAGCACAAATGCAGGGCCACTTTGCAGTGGTTTGTGGCATTGTGGTGGGGATGCTAGAAATGCTTACAGGAAGGATCTGTTTGGGGTAGATCCAAAAAGAAGAGAAGAGATTACTTAACCTTCAGTAAGTGGAAACAGTCAAGGAGGGTTCTCTAGAAATGGGGTACGCATTGGAGCCTCTTCTCATTGCAGTCCTCCCGCTTTTAGATCTAGTCCTTTGCTGGCTGTGGAGCAGATTGGGCAGCGGCTCCTGTGGGCCCAGAGCCTAGAGCTGTCAGAGCCAGCCATGCAGCCTTTCCCTGCCGGGGTCTTCCTGGAAGAGGTGCCAGCGGAGACCCCTATCCAACCAGAGAGTGAGCCAAAGGTGCTGGACCCTGAAGAGGATCTGCTGTGCATAGCCAAGACTTTCTCCTACCTTAGAGAATCTGGTAAGTGTGTGAGAGGAGACAGGTCTTGTCCTGGGAGATCTGCTGGCGGGAGCTTACCTTTGTCTGCTGAGTCTGACTTGGGAGACATGGCCCTCACTTTCTGGGAGAGTGTGCTGGGAAAGGTGCAGCCCACTCCTTTGCACTGTGAAGGGAAAGGCACGGTACTGACGTGCCCTGGGTTGCTGCCCCCAGCGGATTTCCAGTGTGACCAGTCCTTGGCCCTTTCTTCACCCGCCTAGGCTGGTACTGGGGCTCCATTACAGCCAGTGAGGCCCGGCAGCACCTGCAGAAGATGCCAGAGGGCACGTTCCTGGTACGAGACAGCACCCACCCCAGCTACCTGTTCACGCTCTCAGTCAAAACCACCCGTGGCCCCACCAACGTGCGCATCGAGTATGCTGACTCCAGCTTCCGCCTGGACTCCAACTGCTTGTCTCGGCCTCGTATCCTGGCCTTCCCGGATGTGGTCAGCCTTGTGCAGCACTACGTGGCCTCCTGTGCTGCGGACACCCGAAGCGACAGCCCTGATCCTGCTCCTGCCCCAGCCCTGCCTGTGCCTAAGGAAGATGCTCCTGGTGACCCAGCACTGCCTGCCCCTGCCGCCACTGCTGTACACCTGAAACTGGTGCAGCCCTTCGTGCGCAGGAGCAGTGCCCGCAGCCTGCAGCACCTGTGCCGCCTTGCCATCAACCGCCTGGTAACCGACGTGGACTGCCTGCCGCTGCCCCGGCGCATGGCCGACTACCTCCGACAGTACCCCTTCCAGCTCTGACTGGGCCTGCTACTTCGCCCAGCCTCGTGCAGCCACATTCCGGGGGGGACACAGGCTCCTGCTGGACTCGGGCCCCTGCTGTCCCCCGTGCAGTCCTCATGGTGCCTACATGCATCTGGTAGCTGGACCAGGAAGAGCTAAGAAGGAGAAGGCAGGGGGAGGAGGGGAGGTGTCACGCAGTTTGTGGCTCCATTGTTGTGAGCCGTGTGTCAGAGGACAGGGAGACAGGCAGGACCTTGTCTCACCCTGCTGGGTAGGCCTAGGCCTTCACTCACCTGCCTGCCCCAGCCTTCTGAACTGTGTAGACTTTCCCAGCCCTGGTTTCTCAGTCCGTGAGGTGGGGCAGGCCCCCTACCTCCAGCCAGCCTCAGCTGCTAGGAACATGGCCAGGGGAACTGAGGTTGACAGTGACAGCCCTCTTGTTGAGCAGTGGGCCAGGCTGGGGGACACAGTTATACAGTATTTATTTATTTATTCAGCTTGGGGTTGGTCTGAGGTGATCCACCCCACCTCTCTGCCCTGAGCCCAGGGTTGTCCAGAGATAACTGTTGACTTCTCGGTTCTTCCCTGTGGAGGCTCCATCCTGAGATGTTACTGGACCCAAGGCAGGCCTGGGTGTCTTAGCGCTGCCTCACCTGCGTGTGAACATGTGTACTCGCTTCTGGCCCCAGCACTGTTCAAGGGGGCGGATGAATGGACAAGAAATTGGAGCCAGAGCCTCAGTCCCCAGCAGAGCCTGGAGCTCACGCCTTGGGGGACTGGGCTGGAGCTGCACGGCACTGCCCTCGCTGTCCCACAGGCCTGGAGAGCGGAGTGCTGTGTCGGAGGGGACACCGCACCCAGGAAGATGCCTGCGTGTGCCAGGGGGAGACGTACGTAGCTGATAAGACTTTATGGAATAATTATTGTAACACAGAAACCAGTTTGGTAGTCTTTTCTTCTTCCACTGATTTTTCTGTAATAATAATAAAATTACACCTTTCATTTATAGAGCCTGTAATGGGCCTCTTCTGAGTTCTGTGCAGTTTGTCCCTTCGGGCCTATTGTCGTGAGCCCCCATTTCACGTGCAGGCCAGCCAAGGCCGGGGACCTTCTGTGTCTGAGCAGTCCCTGCAGAGGGATACACGGAGGGGTAGAAGAGACAATTCTCTCATTCCCCCTTGTTCGGCTGGGGAAAATGAGAGACAGGAAGTAAAGCCCATGGGGCTGCCGACCAGGTCACTACAAGCCCTTGCGGAGTGGATGGGGAAGGGAGGTGCAGAGGAGCCCAGAGGCTGGACTGTGTAAGCAGGAAGTGCCCATTCAGAATGGCGTGGGGAAGGCCAGTGGGGTTTGCTGTGGCCCACCCTGGAGCAGTGATTCCTCAGAAGAGGGAGCCAGCAGGCCCAGAACTCAGGGCCAGGCTTGTAGACAGAAGGTACAGGGAATGCAAAGGCACTGAGGCACGACTGGGGGCCTGGCTTCCTGACACAAGGAGACCTGGGGCAGAGGGGTGTCCAGGTTCTGACCTGGAACCTTCAGCTCTCACTCAGGGTTTTATGCGCCAGAAATGGGTGGAAGAGCAATTAAAATGAAAATATCCTCCGGTGTTTGATGACTTTGGAACCCTTAGGCTGCTGGGCCTCCACTATGTCCCAAAATTTTCTGTACCTTGGCGCTGAGATCCTCTCAGAAAAGCTCCTTTGAACTTTGTTCATAGCCTTCAGCCCTTATATTCTAGACAGTTCTAATGTGTCTGTCCTGTTAGCCCTTAGACCATTAGAAGTTACAGATTAGTGATAAATTAGCAAACTAGGGGGCCAAGAGAATCCCCTCATAAGCCAAGGAGCAGCAGCTTAGGTTTCATGGTACTGTTTAGGCCAGGCAGAAAAGTCACACTGAAATGAAGAAAATATTTCTCTACAAAGCAATACCTGGACAAAAAGATGCCTAAGTGCCATTCTGACATTCACCTTGGTGAGCACACGTAAGAACTGTTCTACACCACGCATATGGGGAGCGTTGGGTGGTTTTTCTTCCAACAGACAGACATTTGGACACTGCATGTATGCACCTGTAGCCATGCTCCCAGAAATATCCCTTTCCATTAAGAACCACCTCCTTTAAAGGCAGGGGATGGGGCTCAGCGGCAAAGCACTTGCCTAGTATGAGTGAGGCCCTGGGTTTGATCCCCTGTACCACCAAAAAAACTGAATAAAATTGAAAGAAGAACCTCTTAAAGCTCACAGCTAATGGATGGTTACTAGAGAGCAGCTTTGGCTCATCTTTCCTTAAGCCTTTTGATTCAGATTCAAAACTTCAGCACAAACCAGATCAGTGTTACTTTATGTTAGAATTTATTGCCATGTATTACTTTTTATAAATTTCTATAGATTATAAATCCGTTTTTTGTTTTTTTTTATGTAATTGGCCTAAAGCTACAAACATGGGCTTGTCCTCAGTACGTTTTCGAATAACTCTGTAATAGGGAAATGGTTCTGTGCACGTTCTTGCCAATACTTGTGTATGTACAGAAGGGAGGGACTGGCTATTTTTCTACAAAGTAATTGTTGATTTCTAATTTTCTAATGTGCCTTGGATATGTGCCAAACAATGGAAAAGAAATAGTAAACTTTATGATTCTTTTTTTTTTTGTCTTTTTGAGACAGGGTCTCACTATGCAGTTCAGGCTGGCCTTGAGCTCACTTTGTAGCCCAGGCTGGTCTTGAACTCGTAAGGATCCTCCTGCCTCAGCCTCCCAAGTGCTGGGATTACAGGCGTGCGCCACCGCGCCCAGCCCTAAACTTTATGATTCTTAAAAAAAAAAAAAAGTTACAGATTAGAAGAGGCAGATGTGCTGGTGGATTGAGAGCAGGAAGGGATAAGAAGTGAAGTATGGAGGAAGCAGGAAAAAGATGATCAGCAAGAACTGTGGAGGCATAGGAGCTCGGGAGCACAGACCTGGTCACAGCAAAGAGCAGCGATCCCTGGGTAAGAGTGAGTCAGGGGTGGGCAAGGGAGGCAGGGCTCTACTTACTGGAATGACGTCCTGGCTCGGGTCCAGCCTGGCCCCTCCCCTGTTGCTGGTGACAGCTTGGACCCTTGGCTGGCTGTAGGGCCCAACTCAGGCCCTTGCTCCAGGACACCACGGCCCCTCCCAGGAGCGCCCCCAGTTTCTCAGCCCTGCACCCTGGATCTCAGCCCCATTGTGGCTCCCCGAGTGCGTCAGATGCCCCCCTGTCAGCTCCACCTGAGATCTGCGTCACTAGCAGGCAGGGAGTGGACTAGAGGGTCCCGCGGCAGGCTGTTCCCGCCTGGTGCTGTGGGGAGACAGAAGCCGTGTGGCACGAGGAAGCACAGCAAGCCTCGTAGTCCACAGGGGGCAGCTCAGGGGCTGCCAGGCGCGAGAACAGGGAGAGGACTTTGCACTTCACATGTCACTCACCACATGCAGAGGAGTCCAGATGCTACCCACACCCTGTAGAGGAGAAACTGAGGCTCAGAGGGGCACGGGGCTGGGTGAGGCTGCTCAGGGCAGAACTCACCTTAATGCCATCTGCCCCTGGACGGAAATGAGGTGTGAGAACAGGCAGCTTCTACGCAAGCTGCTCTTGGGCGCTATTCCCTGTACCCCCTGCCTGCTGGGCTCTGGAGCCACTGGCCTGGCAAACAGGGTGCTGTCCTCTTCACCTCCACCCCCGCACAAGCCAGGGTCCTGCTCTTTCCTCGGGACCAGCTACCCACTTATTTTGACTCCCCACATTTTTCTGGTTCAGTCCTTGTTTCCCCATCAACGGAGAAAACAATGCCTGTCTGGAACAGTCAGTAGGAGACATGTCACCGGCCCCAACCCAGGGCTGACACCTAGCCTAACAGGTACTGAAAACCTGGCCAGCACAACCAGCTAGTAAAAGGGGCGCACCTAGCAGGCACCAGCTGGGGAAAAGGGAACAAGCCAGCTGGTCGGTGCCCGGGACCCTGTCAGCACGCAGCACCTTGATGACCCATCACCAACCAGGCCCATGAGCAGCGCACAAGCTCCTCCGACACCAGCTGGGCCGGACTCCATCTCAGCCCTGGAGTGCACGGCAGGGAATAAGACACAAACGCGCACACGGGACAGGTTTGGACCGTGTGAAGAAAGCAAAGCAGGGAGCAGGGAGAGAGGGCTTCAGGTGTGGGGACACCCCTGCAGCTGAGAGGGTCGGCGAAGGTGCCGAGCAGGATGGCAGAGAACCCAGAGAACGGAGCAAAGAGCAGGCGCTGGCCATTCAGGCAACGTGGAGAAGAGATATTGCAAAGGGGAGGAACCTCAGGCAGGGCAGGGGCTCTGAGGCAGAAGCAAACCTGGAGGCCGGAGCACTGTGGGAAGGCAGGAGGGGACAGCTGTGTTATCCCAGCACGGTGGAGTCCTCTTCTGAGTCTAGTGGGGTTTCTGCTTCTGACATTATCTCTAAGGGATGTGCCTAACAGCTTGGAGGGGAGGTAGCCCCATAAGACCTGGAGACAGGAGGCCAGGGAAAAGGGTTGTGAGGTAGGGGATTTGGTGGGGTGGGTGCAGTGGGAACAGGAGGAAAAAAGGGTGGGCACTCAGGCATTGAGTTCTCACTACAGCCCTGAGCACCAGCATGGGCTGTCTGAATTACAGCCTAAGAGAGAAGACTCAGAGAGGGGTGGTGGGTAGGCAGCTTAGGGTGACACCACTTGTGAAAGGCAGAGTCAGACTGTGATTCCAGCCAGGGCTTGGTCTACTAAAACTTCAGGACCCACAAGATTCAGAGGGCATGCAGAACAGTAGGGACACTCTGGAGGCCTTGCCAAAGTGGGGAGGGGCTAGGCCCTGGGCCCTGGAGGATGCCACCAGGCCTCAGGGCAGTGGTATCCTCCCTCTACTCACAGCTCTCCCTCCAAAAGGCCTTGAGGATGGAGATGCTGCTGAGCTGTCCGTGTGTTCTCGTCCATGGAGTTTAACTGGCCAGCCTCTTGCTGGGGCACTTTACCCAGCATCACCAAGTGACCCAGTAGTACTTGGAGGACTGGAACCCCACACCCTGGCCAGGCATTCAGTCTGCAAGCTGAAGCTAGGTATGGCGGCCTGCCCCTGGAGATCAGGATACTTGGGAGGCTGAGGTGGGAGAACTGCTTGAGCCCCTGAGTTCAAGACCAGTTTGAAGCTGGGCGTGGTGGTATACACCTGTAATTTCAGCAGTCTGGGAGGCTGAGGCAGGAATATCTAAAAATTTGAGCCCAGCCTGGACAACTTAACAAATTAACAAGACTGTGTCTCAAAGGGAGTGGGGTCAGATAATCTGCTGACCAAGCAGATCTTGCCAGGCCGAGGTCTGGACACGGGTCTGAATAGGGCTAGGGCCATGGCCGGGCTGGCTCCACTGTCACAGTGAGGCAGGAGCATGGGGCCTGCGGCCTGGAATAAGGCCTCATCGAGAAGGCAGGAAGGTGGGAGTCCATGCATAGGGCATGCTGCTTTGGGGCCTCATAAAGGCCCTCTTCCTCCGGAGCCTGCGGAGGCTCTTTTACACCAACCTGTTAGACGAGTTTTTTTTTGTTGTTTTTTTTTTTTTTTTTTTGGTTTTTCTCCGGTACCGGGAACCGAACTCACGACCTTGCGCTTGCCAGGCAGGCGCTTTTGCCGCTGAGCTAAATCCCCAGCCCCATGTTAGATGAGTTTTAATCTAAGGCAAGTTTGAGCTTTGCCATTCAGTGGGGCTACACAGCCAGCCCAGCAGGGGTCACTCCAGTGGTCACTCTTAGGCAGCAGGCCATGTCTGAGACAGAGACAGAAGAGGCCCCTGGAGGTTTGATTCTGGCCAAATTGCAGACCAGCAGGCGGTGAAGAGCGCTTGGCAGGCTTTGGGGAGGTGCAGAGAAAATGGAAGCTGATACTCATGGTGAGTCCGAGGACATGCAGAGGTACAGCACAGGGGGAGGCCAAAGTTATTTCCTCAGTGGGGAGGCAGCTGTTTTCACGACACAGGCCTGGTGGAAGCAGGCAGGGCCCCTCTGAGGAGGCCGCC